CGCTGCTGGTCGCAGTGCGTCCGAGGGAAGTCGCTGCAGAACCTAACCCTCGTGGTGCGGACGTTGTCGTTCCAACAGCTGTGCGGCAAAAGGGGCAAGCGCTTGGTAAAGATGGTGCAGCTACGCATGCAGATCCTCACGGACAACGAGGGAGGCCGTCCTTCCTGCTCACGGTCCTCATGTTCCGCGTTCTGATTTCGCTGATTTCGCAGCGGCTTGTCGGGACGGCGCAGTAGAGTCAGGAAGAACAGGCCATCCTGAAGTGGTTCTGGAAGAAGGGCTAGCGTTCGAGGTCGCTGACTGGAACGGGGAGGTCATACCATGTCGTGGACCCAGTGACGGAGTCCATGTCGTGGACCCAGTGGTGGAGTTGGCCAGCAGATTTTGTGTGGTCATGGTTCTCTTGGTGAATCGATGAGTGAGTCTCATGCTGGAAGCGTCCAGCTCGACCGTGCCACGGACGCCTACGGCCACAGTGCGGACTGCTGTCCTTGAGGCGGGGCATGCTGCCGCTGCGATGCCGTCCACTCGTTATGTTTCCTCCTCCTCTTTGTTTCACACTCCCCCGCCGCTTCAATTCCCGTCCAACCTTGCTAGTAGTTCTCGCCTTGCTGCTCTCGTCTCCCGCGGACTCGTTAAGGATATTCGAGCCACGGGAGGAGATCAATTCGTGGGGAGCGGGGCTTACATGGTTTCGTGCCCCTCCCACCTCTCCAGGGAGGCCCCGCCTGAGCAAGGAGGGTATCCGCAAACCATACTATTTACATGGTTTCGTGTCCCTCCCACCTCTCCAGGGAGGCCCCGCCTGAGCGAGGAGGGTATCCGCAAACCATACTATTTACATGGTTTTGTGCCCCTCCCACACCTCCAGGGAGGCCCCGCCTGAGCGAGGAGGGTATCCGCAAACCATACTATTTACATGGTTTCGTGCCCCTCCCACCCCTCCAGGGAGGCCCCGCCTGAGCGAGGAGGGTATCGGAATACCATACTATTTACATGGTTTCGTGCCCCTCCCACCCCTCCAGGGAGGCCCCGCCTGAGCGAGGAGGGTATCGGAATACCATACTATTTACATGGTTTCGTGCCCCTCCCACCCCTCCAGGGAGGCCCCGCCTGAGCGAGGAGGGTATCGGAATACCATACTATTTACATGGTTTCGTGCCCCTCCCACCCCTCCAGGGAGGCCCCGCCTGAGCGAGGAGGGTATCCGAATACCATACTATTTACATGGTTTCGTGCCCCTCCCACCCCTCCAGGGAGGCCCCGCCTGAGCGAGGAGGGTATCGGAATACCATACTATTTACATGGTTTCGTGCCCCTCCCACCCCTCCAGGGAGGCCCGCCTGAGCGAGGAGGGTATCGGAATACCATACTATTTACATGGTTTCGTGCCCCTCCCACCCCTCCAGGGAGGCCCCGCCTGAGCGAGGAGGGTATCGGAATACCATACTATTTACATGGTTTCGTGCCCCTCCCACCCCTCCAGGGAGGCCCCGCCTGAGCGAGGAGGGTATCGGAAACCATACTATTTACATGGTTTCGTGCCCCTCCCACCCCTCCAGGGAGGCCCCGCCTGAGCGAGGAGGGTATCCGAAAACCATACTATTTACATGGTTTCGTGCCCCTCCCACCCCTCCAGGGAGGCCCCGCCAAAGCGAGGAGGGCATCAAGAAAATATGTCCCACGAAATCGTTAACCTCTTTATGTGACAATTATGTGGGGAACTCCGTTAGCATAATTTTCCCAGAACGCCCTCTCCTTCCCACCCACCTCCCGCTCCATCTTCCATACAGCACAATATCATTCCTACCACACACACCATACCATACCATAGTTCCTACCACACATACCATACCATACCACCAGGGAGGCCCCGCCTGAGCGAGGAGGGTATCCGCAAACCATACTATTTACATGGTTTCGTGCCCCTCCCACCCTCCAGGGAGGCCCCGCCTGAGCGAGGAGGGTATCCGAAACCATACTATTTACATGGTTTCGTGCCCCTCCCACCCCTCCAGGGAGGCCCCGCCTGAGCGAGGAGGGTATCGGCAAACCATACTATTTACATGGTTTCGTGCCCCTCCCACCCTCCAGGGAGGCCCCGCCTGAGCGAGGAGGGTATCCGCAAACCATACTATTTACATGGTTTCGTGCCCCTCCCACCCTCCAGGGAGGCCCCGCCTGAGCGAGGAGGGTATCGGAAACCATACTATTTACATGGTTTCGTGCCCCTCCCACACCTCCAGGGAGGCCCCGCCTGAGCGAGGAGGGTATCCGCAAACCATACTATTTACATGGTTTCGTGCCCCTCCCACCCTCCAGGGAGGCCCCGCCTGAGCGAGGAGGGTATCCGCAAACCATACTATTTACATGGTTTCGTGCCCCTCCCACCCCTCCAGGGAGGCCCCGCCTGAGCGAGGAGGGTATCCGAAACCATACTATTTACATGGTTTCGTGCCCCTCCCACCCCTCCAGGGAGGCCCCGCCTGAGCGAGGAGGGTATCCGAAAACCATACTATTTACATGGTTTCGTGCCCCTCCCACACCTCCAGGGAGGCCCCGCCTGAGCGAGGAGGGTATCCGAAAACCATACTATTTACATGGTTTCGTGCCCCTCCCACCTCTCCAGGGAGGCCCCGCCTGAGCGAGGAGGGTATCCGAAAACCATACTATTTACATGGTTTCGTGCCCCTCCCACACCTCCAGGGAGGCCCCGCCTGAGCGAGGAGGGCATCAAGAAAATGGGTCCCACGAAATCGTTAATCTCTTTATGCGGGGAACTCCGTTAGCATAATTTTCTTGGTGAGGCTGCTCTATCGGGCCTCTGCTTGAAATCTGGACAACGTCTCCAGCGGTTCAGTGCAGTTCAGCTCTCCTTCCCCCCGCCCGCCTCTCCCTGCTCCTGCGGTGCGGGCGATTTGCCGCTTTTCAAAGCGATTTTGGCCCGTCGCACCGCTGTCCTGAGGCCACCCCCCACCAGCAGTGCCAGGATGAGGAGCTCGTAGGAGGAAGGGGGGATGGGGGGAAGTGGACGACGAGGGCGGAGGGTAGGGGGGGACGAGGAGGAGTGGAGGGAGGAAGGGGGAGGGGGGCGGGGCAAGTTAGGTGCGCTCGCGTCATATCTGACGTCCTATCCCTACCTCCCATCCCATACCATGGCGTATATCTCCTCTCTATTCGCACAATTGGATGTCGCAGCCTGGCATAGCGTGACATGGCATACCATGGTGTTAAATATCAACGCGTAGCATGACATAGCATGACGTGGCGACGCCCCAAAGATGGGGGGGGCTTCTGCGGTCCCAAACATCAGCGAATCGACATCCAATGTGTAATGCTTCCGATTGTTTTTCTTCGGGGAGGCATTTTTTAGATTTTGAGACCGGTTTGGAAGGACCGAACACCATGCCGGGTCATAGCACTGGGAATGATGACGTGACACCGGCGCTGCAGTGGGAACACGATTCGGGACGAGCGGGAGCGCGGGAATGAGGCCAGCGCTGCAGCGGGAGCGCGATTCGGAACGAGCAGTAGCCCGAAAATGAGGCCTAATTTAGCGAAATCAGCATATCATGAGGACGCATAACCTGACATAGCATGGTGTGGCGACGAACCAATGGGGGGGGGTCTTCTGCGGCCCGGACGAATCGACACCGAATGTGTACTCACTTCCGCGGTTTTTGCTCGGGGGGACAAATGTTTTAGATTTTGGGCATATTTGGAAGGACCGAACACCATGCCGTGGCATGGCGCTGGAAATAGTAACGCCAGCGTTGCAGCGGGAACGCGATTCGGAACGAGCGGAAACGCGGAAATGAAGCCAGAGTTGCAGCGGGAGCACGATTCGGAACGAACTGTAGCCCGTAAATGAGGCCAGCGCTTCAGCGAGAGCATCATTTTTCCCAACTCCTGGGAATCCTGTGTGTAAAAAGTCAGTACGCGGAAGTGGGTGAATATGTCCAGGACGCCACCAGGGGAGAGAGGAGAGTAGCATTCATATTGTGCAACTGTGGATGAGGTGGAGTTTGGGGGGAGGCCAGGGGAGGGCAAGGGGGAGGGGGTAAGAGGAGGGCAAGGAGGAGGGGGGAGGGAGGGGGGAGGGAGGGCAAGGGGGATGGGGGAGGGGGGTGGGAGGCGGTGGCGGGGGCGAGGAGGGGGGAGGAGCGCGGCTGTGCTGCGGTGGGCGGCCGTGCGGCTACAGCGGCAATCGCGCCGCGGCAGGCCGATGGACGACCCCTCCCCCGTTGCCCGCCTCGATCCTGCTCATGCCGGGGGCCTCCGGGCTGGGGAACGACGCGGCGCAGCTGTGCAGGGCAGTGCCTGCACCTGGCGGCGGGGGGGCTCCGGTCCTCGTGCCGTGCCGCGGCGCAGCGCTACAGGACAGACGCTGGAAGAGTGACCATTTTTTGGCTCGAGGGGCTCTGGTCTTCGGGCGGTTCCTCAGAGACGTAGGTCGGGGGTCCTATTCGTTGCCGAGGCTGGCCGTGGCCAGAGAGCACCTTCGTTCCTTCGTTGCTTGTGCAGCGTTTTTTACGGTAGCACGGTGACTGTCACGTTCCTGGTTTACGTATGGCATAGCCAGTCCCTGAGACCGTTGGCAGAGCTGCCCGCCCCGCTGGATGGCTGGCCAGCTCTGCAGCCATGCAGCCATCGGTTTGTGCAGCATCGGGTCCACGATGTGTCGCTGCGGCAGCCGTCCGACCTGCGAGAGGCCGACTTGGAGGTGGACAAAGAGGAGGACGACGAGGATGAGAAACGGATGAGAAGGGAGGATGAGGGAGGAGAACGAGGCAGGGGGACACATGACGGAAGAATGAGGAGGTGGAGGAGGAGGAGGAGGAGGACGAAGAGGAGCAGGTGGAGGTGGTGTTGTAGGAGAATCGGCAGGAAGAGGTTGAGGAGGATGACCACACGGCGGAGGAGGACGATGAGGGGACGGCTCAGACGGGTGCCCGCGCCAAGACCGCACAGAGCCGTGAGGGAGGAGGCGTTTGGCGCAGGAAGTCCTTGCTGCTGATGGCGGGGCAGGAGTTCTCGGTGAAGAGGCGGGGTCGCGGCCGCCCCCCCCCCCCCGCCGCGGTCCACGCGCGCCCGCGCGCCCGAGGCCTCGAATTGCACCCGCAGTCGTCCTCCTCCTCGTCCTCGTGCGGCGTGAGCGCGTTTCGGTGCCATTCACAGGCACAGTGCCACGCGGGGCTCTGCGGGAACGGCGGTTCGGATGCAGCTCCAGAGAGGTTTCGTTCAGCATCGGCGCTGGTACGCCCGTGGTCGAAATCTCGACGAATCCGGCTGACTCCCGCTTAATCGGGCTAGATCTCGCTTGCTCTGGCTTAGTCCCGCTTGATCCGGCTCAGCCTCTGGTTCAATGTGGCCTGCTCCGGCTTAATGGCCTCTGAAGTTGGACGCGGCTGAGACCAGGATAAGTCGTCCCGGAGCGTTCCAAAACGCTCCAGTAGCGTTCCAGAAAGTTCTGAGAATGGCCCGGGCGCCCGATACATCCTTCAGAACCGCTTGATCTCGGAGATCCGATTTATCCCTGTCTGATTTTGTCCCTGCCCGATCGGACGCCCTTGATAGACTTCTTTTATCTCCTGGCGATGACGGGCGTGACCGGGAGTGGGTGGGAGGGGGGCAGAAGACAGGTCACGTTATCATTCGAGCCGGCGCCGTCTGAGCATGCTGAGGTCGGGAGGCTCGAGACGAGGGTCAATGCAAACGGGGGTCAGTCAGAGCGCCGGATCTTGCAGGATCCTGAAGGGCCACGGGCCGCATTGACCCGGGTTTGGGTGCAGGATCGTGCAGGATCTTGCAGGATCCTTCGCAGTGACCCGGGCTTGCGTGCAGAATTTTGCAGGATCTTGCAGGGTGTTGCAAGGCCTGACTGACCCGGGTCTGGATTGACCCGGGTCAGAAGATCCCCGATGAGGCATAGCGAGTTCCCAGACGGCTCGTTCGGCGAGTCCTGTTACCCTCTTGGGCCGTTACCTGTTGGCGAGGAGGCCTCTTGGGCCGTCCGAGAGGCCTGTTACCCTCTTGGGGGGGGGGCCCGAAGAAGTCTTGCGGGCAGGCCCCGGGCGTGCCGGGAGCTCTTGGAGATTGGAGCATTTGGGGTCCGGGTTCCGGGCCCTTTGGCTCGCGGGCAGCGATGGGGGGGGGATGGGCATAGTCGGGGGAGAAACAGATATGGATACGTGTTGTCCCCCTTCGTTTTCGACCTTTCCTGGTCCTCCTGGGGAATCCTCGTTGTCACCGCTGGATTCGCCTCGAAATTCTGGTCAGAACGCACCCCAAGAGAGGTCCGGGGACAACACGTATCCGTATCTTTCCGCCCCCCAACATAGGGGGGTATGCATCCACCCTCAATCGCCTATTGATCGGCGATAGGCGCCCAATAGCCCCAACACTATCGGGGGCCCATCGCCGATCTATCTGCGATGTATCGCTGATTCCGGTGCGATGTTCCCCCCATAACTGCCAGTCACCCCCATCGTTGCCCTTCAGTATCAGATCCTCAGGATTCAGTTCTGCGGCCCAGGAGGGGGTTGAGCAAGTGACCTGAGGACCTCCGACTTGTGTCTCGCAGGCTCGGAAGATTGGTGGATTTTGGGCTGCGGAAAACGGATGGGCCAGGGAGAAGGACCGAGGGAGGAGGGATATGGAGGTGAGTCAGGAAGCAGGGAGCGTGGAGGAGGTCAGGAGGGAGGAGGAGGGAGTGATGAGTGAGGAAAGAAGGGGTGAAATTGGGGAGGAATGGGTGGGGAGGGTGTGCAGGGTCATGGGGCAGCGGGGAGGGTTGGACGGGGAGCGAACGATGGAGTGCGGGTGCGGCAGGATGGGAGCGGGCAGGGGAGGGGAGCCCCCCTCCTCATCTCGAGGGCATGACCAAGGCGCGTGGACTGGTGGCGGGCCCCGTTCCCATACAGCATCGGCACGCTCCGTCGTCAGATCGGGCGGCGTCGGCGCCATATTTCGGGGGGGGTCCTCTCCCCGATCCGTGCACCTGGCGCCCACAGGCCAGATGCACGGATCCGTAGTCAATTTTAGCGTGTGCCCGATCATTGCATCATCTTGTTACTCTGATTTCCAAGCCAGTCGTCGGATCAGGCCTTCATTCAGTGGCCCTTGAAAGCCGCAGGACCGTTTTGTGTATGGCTCTTGCCTTTTCCACACTGTTTCTTGATCATGAAAGCGGCGATGACCGATCACCGAAACGATAAACGAGCGGTCATCGAAACGGTCTGGGCAGTCGGGGATCCGACAGACGTTCTACGGCTCACAGTGTTTTTTCGGTAACTGGAACGTGTACATTACCAGTGGCGGGCTGTTTTTCAGTCTTAGGATTTTCTGATGGTCGTGGACGACGTCTAGGTGGTGGTGTGTGTGTTTTGTGTATATACGTAGATCTCTGTATATCTACATGTGTATATACGTGTGTATACACACATGTATATATATATATATATATATATATATATATATATATACTCGTCCACCTGGGAAACAACTAACAATAGGTACACCAGGGTCCGAGATACAACAGGATCCGCTTTCTTCTGCAAGTGTCATTGCAGGGCTGAAAACATGGTCGGTGTATAGAGTTTGTGTAACTGGTCTCGGGTCAGGAAATACATGCGATCTGGACCAGGCCCCACGGCGCCGGAAACGTGAGACAAAGCGTCGCTTGAACATGTGAAACAACCATAACACACAAGCGCGTATATAAGCACATACCTAAGGGCTGAGCTCACATGCGATAGCTGCCGCGCAAAAGAGGGAGCAGCAGAAGGACGAATTCGAAGGCTGAGGGAGGGAATTCAGGTTGATGGGCAGAACAACGAGGCGAAGGAGGAGGAGGAGGAGGAGGAAGAGACACACGCGGCAAGCTTGCGGTTCACGTCAGGTCAACGTCTAAAAGGAGGAGGAGGAGAAACATACGAATCGAGTACGATGACGGATAATGTCATGAAGGGCACAATTGTGGAGGGCGGAAAGGGAAGAAGGGATGACGAGGATGAGGGAAGAGGATGCCCGGGATGGGGAAGGAGGGATGACGAGGAGGAGGGTAATTGGGGGAGGGGGGGAGGGGAAGGAGGAGGAGGAGGAGGAGGAGGGAAGGGGAAGGGGGGGGCGGAGGGTAATTACTTAGGGGAATGGGGGTCACGAGGAGGATGGGGAGCACGAGCCAAGATCAGAGGAGCGTGGTGAGGGCCACGAGGAGGGCCACGGAGAGGCGTGCGAGGAGGACGACAACGAGGTGGCACAACGGGGGGGGGAATGAAGAAGGGGACATGATGAGGAGGAGGAGGAGGAGGAGGAGGAGGAGGAGGAGGAGGAGGAGGAGGAGGAGGAGGAGGAGGAGGAGGAGGAGGAGGAGGAGGGGGGAGGACCAGGCGGGGGGAGGAGTTCGAGGAGGAGGAGGAGGGGGAGGGGAAAGCATGAGGAGGAGGAAGAGGAGGAGGATGAGTAGGAGGAAGGGGAGGGCGGCGACGACGCCAGGGATCACGAGCGCGCGGGACGGCGTGCTGCCCTCACTGGGCGGCGCGCCGTTCGGAACGTCCGAACACGCCCCGAGCGGAACGCGCACACGCACACTCACACACGCACACGAACACACGCACACGCGTACACGAGCACACACGCACACACGCACACACGCACACTCGCACACGCACACACACACCAACACGACACACGACACACACACACACACACGAAGTGTTGCTCGAGCTCTTGAGCGTGAGGGACTAGGCGCGGAGGGGTCAGGTCCAGAGTCGTTACATGATCGCTGGAGTGGGGGGGCTGAGCAGTGCTCACAGTGCTCACATTGGGCAGTCATAGGGAGGATGGAAGGGGGAATGGGATGAGGAACAGGGCAGGAGGGGATGTATGGGGAGGGTGTCTTGGGAGACGGAGAGGGGTTGGGGGAAGGGGTGAGCCTGAAGGGGAAGGGAGAAGGGACATGAGAGAAAGGGGGAAGAGGTGGATACGGAGGGAAGGGGGAGAGGGGAAGGTGATGGAGGATGAGATGGGGGAGGAGGGGACATGGGGAGGAGGAGAGTGAGGGAGTCAGGGGAGTGGAGGTGGCAGATGCGAGTGAGAGGGCGGGGAGAGAGGATAGAGAGAGAAGGAGAGGCGCAAGGAGGTGCCAACGATTTATTTGTACATACTTCGACCCCCAAGGACGCCCTTCTGCTCATCGCTGCCTCGCTCCTCGCCCACGTTGTTTCTCGTTCGCCGAGTCTCTGTGTCGTTCGCTTCCTCCCCGTCCATCTCGGTACAGGTCGCGCACCCCTGGCGACACTTCCGAGCACCCATCTTCAGATTGTGAGAGCTCTGTGCGCACGTCGCGCTGGTGACATAACCGCGGGATCAGCGGGGGCCGACTGTTGCAATTCCACGTAGTTGATCTGCCTATGTTTCTGTCTCTCTCTCTCTCTCTCTGTCTCCCTTTCAGGTTCTCTCCTCGACGTGTTCGTCGCCGTCGGAGGAGGACACGGAGGAGGAGGAGGAGGCCGAACACGGGGGCGCGGCGAGTCGTCACGAGTCGATCTGCGGGCGGGGGATGGCGCCGAGGCGGAAGGGAGCAGGGAGGCGGGAGAGGACCGGCGGGGAGCACGGGAGAGGCGGAGCAGGACGGGAGAGGGCGAGGACCGCGCGAGGGGCAGCAGGATGCAGCAGGGGGCAGCGGGGGCAGCAGTCGCCCGGCACGCCCCCCGGCCGCGCCGACCTGGGGCCCTCACGGGCCCCCCCTGCTGGCCGCGTGGCTGCCTGGCAGCAGGGTTACGCTGCGAAAGGTGTGAGCTTACAGTGGATCGTCCTGGTGACGATGGGGAGCCAGGAGCTCCCGCCCTCTCCGCGCAGCGCGCCTGTGGCGCGCGGGGGCCTCCCTCCCCTTCCCCGCCTTTCCTCCCTCCTGCTCCCTCCTCCCTCCCTCCCTTCTCCTTTCTCCTCCTCCCTCCTCCTCCTCCTCCTCCCTCCTGTTCTTCCTCCTCCCTCGTCCTGCCTCCTCCTCCTCTTCCTTCTCCTCCTCCTCCTCCTCCTCCTC